AACTGGCTTGCCAGGCTGTTTCCTTGGCATGCTTGCACTTGCCGTGGATGTTCTCCATGTACTTGATCTGTCAGCAACATTCCACACTAAGACACACTCCCTCCATTTTGAAGCACCTTCTTTCCTTGAATTCCATGACATCATTCCTTCTGAACTTCCCTCTTACCTGTCTGGTATTTCCTTCATTCTTTTTTTTTGCTGGCCACTCCTTTGTGTGCCAGGCTTTCTTAGGGCTCAGTCTTAGGTTCTGTTTTCCCTTGTAAGCCTACTAAATTTACTGAATACTTACTGATGGTTTACTATAGGAATTTTTATATTTAGCATATAAGTATATATGATCTTAGTATATATGATCATTTACAGTATAGCTAAGGTATATTTTTCTCATAGCAGTTTGGTTACCATAATAGAGTAAGGATATCTATCTATAATTGCAACCCATGAGAATTTCCATAACATGCCAAAAGCATTGATTTTTAGTGTACTGTATCCCCCATGTGTGCTTTCTTTGTTTGAGGGCGTGCTATTCTCCGGTGTTGCTCTGGTCCCTCATTCTGCTGTTGCATTAAATGATTAGGTTTTAGCAACGCCCCAAAAGGATATCCTTGCAGTTCATTGAGTAGCATTTGATGTTGTCTAACACCTTACTAAATTAAATGGAATACCTAGGTAGAAATTCGGGCAAGCTGTGATTTTTTATTTAGAGGAACATTTTTCTTCAGGAAAGAAATTGGAATTGGTAGCTGAGATTCTCTGTGTGTTTATTATATCCCAGGTCCCTGCCAGGAAATTATTCTGAAGAAAGTAAAAAATATTTTTAAAGGAAAGAACTATTGAGTAATGAAGATGTAAACTTTTCAGTGATGAATGATGTGCCGAGGGCTTATTGGAATTGCTTGACCTGAATAGCTCACTCTTCTTGCCATTTCCTGGCGTTCCATTTATAATACTCAAGAACTCAATCTTTGATAGTGATAAAGGGTTAATGCATGAGTCTGATGAGGTGCTATATCAATACTGAAGAAGTGGCATATGAAGAAGTAATAATGACATTGCTAGAAATGAATAGAAAGCGATAGCATGGAGGAAGAAATTTAGCCCTTGATATATTTAATCCTTAAAATGAGATTGACATAGTAATTGAGCATAATAAGCAAGATATTTTCATTTGCATTTTATTGTTTCTAATCTTCTGTGGAACAGAAGAAATTGAGAACTGTCCCTTTAATAAAACCCTGTTTACCTATCCTCTTCTAGTAGGAGTGGCTTAGGAACCTGTAGAGTGAGGTGTAACTACCAATTCTGCATTCTGACCTGCAACCTTGGAAAGAGTGCTGATACTACAAACCAGGAAGTGACAAATAATGTGCTTTGAACTCTGTAGGACTTGTCTTTCATAAGGAAAAGCCTCTCATAACAAAAAGAGAAGATTGAAACAGTGATTTTATGTAGTTGTCATTAAATATTGGGAACTCTGCTGCAGATAAAGACTTTGCAGAATACTTAGAATACAAAGCTTTCTGGGCCAGAAATTGATCTTCTGACTTTTGAGTCGTATCTGATTGCTGCTTGGTTCATCTTTATTTTGTTAAAGTAGCCTGCAGGCTGAACCAGGACTCTTCATTGTTTGCAGGTAGGTGGTCAGCCTTTGGTTAAAATTTAGGATGTTTTTTAAAACAACCTCTTTAGAAAATTATTGTTATTCAGAGAATTATGAATATCAGTCTGGGTATATGTTTTAATGTTTAAATATTCAACACGACTATAAATAAATGACCACGTTTTTGTCTTTTCTGATCAACTTTATGGAAAAACTTGTTTTTAACAAATGAGCAGATCTATAAAATGGTAAACTTAAAAAAAGATGGTGAATTAAATGAGTTCTATTTTGTTTTCCACTAATTTACATACATAGATACTTTATATATATACTTTATATTTTTATAAATTTATATTTATATATGTAAACATATACTTTATATATAAATACTTTATACTTTGTATAGAAGTTCCTATATATATATAAACTCAGAAATGAAAAAGTATATTGAAATTACCCTATTAACTATTCACATCTTGATAGTTTTTGATAACGTATTTAAAACATTCATGTAGTCAAATAAAATTGTGTTTTTATTGTTAATATTTTATGTCTAAGTTTCATGTCATTCAGTTGTAGGAAGTCACCTGAATATTTATAATTGTTTTATCTACTTCTTTTAGTCTGTTTTTGGAATAGTTTGATATTTATTATTTCAGAGAAGTTTTTATAACATAATCTTCCACAAGTATATTGAAATATTTCTTGTTTCTCTTTATAAAGTTAACCATCCACTTATGACACTAGAAGTATTTCAAAGATAATGTCTTTGAAAGATTGAGTTATTAGTATGAGCTAACTGCTGTACACAAATGGCTTTTTTGGAGTGGGAATCAGAAAAGAAATGTGTTAGGATCAAGAATCAAGTTCCTTAACTTTCTCTACCACTAGTGATCCTTTTTATTTTTTTTTTTGTGGACACTAGTCTTCCAAAGACTTTGTCCACCAAGCAAATGGTATATAACTAAATAATAAAATCTTAGAACATTATTGTTTATTAGACAAACATTATTTGCAATGAGAGTTTCTTATGAGCCTGAATAACTGCTCTAGGCTAATGTAATTCAGCCTCAAAGGGGCCTGACATTTTACTTAGCTTGAATAACTTTATTGTAGGTAATTGTTTGGATACTTTTTATTTTTTGAAATATTGATAGTAATGTCTGAATTTTCATCAACTACTCTTGTGGAATCTTACCAGTCTGGGTATGGCAAATTGGAAACTAGTGGTCTAAAATGCAGAAGTTTTTTTCTTAATTTCTTCGAGGTTCTGTAAAATATAGTGAAGGTCATCTAGTGTAATGTAACAAAGATTCCATAGCCACTAGACATGGAGAAGAAACAAGGAGAAAGAAAAAAGAAAGTGGCATCTGTCAAGGGGAATATCAGAGAGGAATTTAAGGCATATATTTGGCCCCCTTAAATCTCCCTATATTTATCTCTATTTTCCAACTTAATTTTTTTTTTACCCCAGTTAGGTCAATAAACTATTAACCGACTGCAAAATAGACATTACCTATGTTCTTTATGTATTTATTTTGTACTTGTGTGTTGGTTTCTCTCTCTCAAAATTTCCTCCTCTCTCCATTTTCCCCATTCATGTCCTTCCTTCAGCTCTGCTGAAGACATTTAGCCAATGTGAAGCCTTATCTGATCACGCTAATCCACAGTAATATTTCTTGCCTTTAGACTTTAAAAAAATCTTTTTTTACATTTATTTATTTTTGAGAGACAGAGAGACAGAGCATTAGTTGGAGAGGGATAGAGAGAGAGGGAGACACAGAATCTGAAGCAGGCTCCAGGCTCTGAGCTGTCAGCACAGAGCCCTACGCAGGGCTCAAACTCACAAACCATGAGATCATGACCTGAACCGAAGTCAGACGCTTAACTGACTGAGCCACCCAGGCACCCTTGCCTTTAGACTTTTATAGTAAGTTGATTGTATCAGTACTTTAGTACTTAATATTATAGCCTGTCATATTTAACTTAAAAGTCTCCCATGGTTCTTCAACTATAAGTTGTTTGAGAATAAGGAGCTTAACTTGTATATATCATGTTTATTCTTAGCCATGTAGTGCAGTGATACATGTTTGGAGGTTCTAAATAAATATTTGCTAAATGAATGAGAAATAGTCTTGCCAACAGTTGCCTCAGGTGTTATGCTGCCTCCCTCTACTGTGCTTAATCATGTAATTAACCACCTAAAATGTTTCTAGAAATCAGACCATTGGTTATCTTATTATTATTGTTTTTGTTTTGCTCTACAGTGCATGCATGACTTTTTTGTTTTAGATGATTTTAACACTGATATGTTACCTATAAAGAAAGAACAAGATGGATTTTTTTATAAATGAATTAAAGGAAATACTCTGAATTCTATCCTGTTGCCTTTTATATTGTAGGAAAATATAACTTAAAATTTACTGATATATAAGGTGTTAAAAATGGTCAAAATATTCAGATACATTATGGATTAAGAGAATGGTTTTGAGTTGATGATTAGAACACTGAATGCTGATCCAGTGGTCATGGTAGACAATTGGATTGTAGAATTTATTTATTTATTTATTTGTTTGCTTATTTATTTATTTATTTATTGGGCTGTAGAATTTAAATTTCTTTTTTAAGAAAATTTCTTTTTTAATTTGAGAGGCAGAGAGAGACAAAGCACAAGTTGGGGAGGGGCAGAGAGAGAGGGAGACACAGAATCCAAAGCAGGCTCCAGGCTCTGAGATGTCAGCACAGAGCTGGAAGTGGGGCTTGAACTCATGAACCGGGAGATCATGACCTGAGCTGAAATCAGATGCTTAACCTACTGAGCCACTCAGGGGCCCCTGGATTGTAGAATTTAAATTGCAGATTAGTGATTGCCCAATAATACTATGAATAAATTATTTTATGAAGAGACAATTTGAAACCTCTTAATTCTCATTTAAGTAGTTATTATGTTATATACTTTAAAATCATCATTTTATCTACTCCCAGTATCAACCCTGTCAGGTAAGTTTTGTTAACCCGTTTTTAAAAAATGTTTATTTATTTATTTTGAGAAGGAGAGAGAGCACGGGCAGGGGAGGGGCAGAGAGAGAGAGAATACCAAGCAGGTTCCATGTTGTCAGTGCAGAGCCTGAGGTGGGACTCAGTCTCACGAACTGTGAGATCATAACCTGAGCCGAAATCAAGAGTAGGACGCTAAACCTATTGAGCCACCCAGGCACCCCTGTTAACCCATTTTTTATACATGCAGAAAACTGTCATTTGAAAAGGCCAAATAACTACCAAACTTTCACATTTAGAATTTGCACAACAGGTCATTTTGACCTCAAAATTCATGTTTGAATCACTATGTTGTAGTATCTTATATTTTCCAATATTCAGTGTAATTTTTGTGTCATTTTAGAGCTTGACCAGACAGGAATTCTGGCAGCTGCTCCAGCAGAATTATGGTAATGAGCTAGGCTTAAATGCTGAAGAGATGGAAAACTTGTCTTTGTCAATCGAGGATACTGTGCAGCCAAGGTAGAGCAAAATGTTAACTATCACAACTTATTAATCATTAATTAAAGCAGAATTATTTTAGACTTTACCAATTTAGAATTTCTATTAAATTGTCCTTGGGTGGAATTTGCCTCTTTGGTCTTTGTAGTGGAATGAAGTGAAAGGTGAGGACATTGAATAGTTTGCTAAATTGGTAAGCAAATATAGGACATACAAGGAAATGTTAATTTTGTAACTCTGTTATCTAGGGTTTGCTTAAAGCATAGTTTTAGTAAAACTTTTTATTAAGGGTCTGAAGAAGTACCTAGTGACATCTCTGAGCTTGTAGATAACAATAAAATAAACTAGCTGGTAGGTATTTTGAGGGATACAAAGACGGTATGATGTTTCCTCAAGGAAACCCTAGCATAGTGCTTGACATGTAGTTGACACTCAATAAATACTGAATGCATTAATGAAAGGAGCTGATAGTACTATGGAGAATGCAAATACTTATAATACAGGGTTGAAAATGACATAGGCCAAAAGGAGCAATAGATAATATGATAAATTCAGAGATGAGATTATTTTTGACTGATGGGGATTCTTTGGAAGAGTGGATATTTTTATTAACCTATACAAGTAAAAGTGCATTTTGTCCAATGGTAATTGAGGTCATAGCAATAAAAACAATTAAGGATAATACATTAAAATTCTATAGTAGACATTATAAATGACGGAAGCAAGTGAAAGAAGTGAGTTACCCAAGACCACGTATTGTACAATCCATTTATGTGAAATGGAATCCAGAATGAGCACATCTATAGAGACAGAAAGTAGATTAGTATTTACCAAGGGCTGGGAGGAAGGGAGAATGGGGAGTGATTACTAACAGGCACAGGATTTCTTTTTGTTGATGAACATGCTCTAAACCTAGATAGTGGTTGTGGCTGTACAACTCTATAAACCACTGTATTGTACACATTAAATGGGGTGAATTTTATGGAATGTGAGTTATATCTTAAAACTCTTAAAAATTCTATATTAAGTTAAAAATGGAAATCTTTCAGAAGTCTCAGTATGTTTACAGTTTTTTTTTCTTCTATTTAGGTAGTCTTCTAGTTATGCTGATCCTCTTTATACTGTTTCAGCTCAACATCAATATTTTAGACTTTTTTACGTGGTTGCACATGCATATTTTATTAGTTTTCTGTAAAGTTAAAAATTTCCATTGTACTACTCTCCTTGTAAAGTTTACTAGTGTCTCTTAGGTACTGGCGCTGGATAGAAAAACAGTTGACATAATGCAGAGAGCCTTGGGTTATGGTAAAGAAGATCTGGATTCTTGTCTGGACTTGGCCACCAAGTATCTGCACAACCTCAAGCAAATCTCTTAGCCTTTCAGATCCTCACTTTACCCATCTCTGAAATGAGGTAGTTAAACTAGATAATTTCCAAGGTCCCTGCCAACTCAAGGAGTTTCTTGTGAAGAAGAGAATATTTTTTTTATTAAAAAATTTTTTTTTAATTTTATTTTTTTTTAATTTACATCCAAGTTAGTTAGCATATAGTGCAGCAATGATTTCAGGAGTAGATTCCTTAATGCCCCTTACCCATTTAGCCCATCCCCCCTCCCACAACCCCTCCCGTAGCCCTCAGTTTGTTCTCCATATTTATGAGTCTCTTCGGTTTTGTCCCCTTCTCTGTTTTTATATTATTTTTGTTTCCCTTCCCTTATGTTCATCTGTTTTGG